ACTAGTCATTGCTGTTTGTCCCCAAATCTGTGAACAAATGCCCCTCATCCCTAACAAATAAGTTTGAAAAAAATGGAATCAGTAACAACAAAATAAATGAGCTTTTAGTTGATGGCTTAAAAACAAAACAAAGAAATAATGTCAGAACTTAGGCCTGATGCAGTTTAGTGGTTTATAACAATCCCTGTTACCATATGAATGTGAGTAGAGCTGATCTGATTTACACTGAGGAAAGACTCGAGTTGTGTTCTTACACAGCTTGCCAGGATGTTAATGTTAGAATCAGATTGCTTTTTAACTGACTCTCTCTCTCTATATATATATACATATATATTATTTTTTTTTGAGATAGAGTCTTACTATGTCACTTTTGGTAGAGTGCCATAGTGTCACAGCTCACAGCAACCTCAAACTCTTAGGCTAAGTGATTCTCTTGCCTCAGCCTCCTGAGTAGCTGGGACTACAGGTGCCCGCAACAACGCCTGGCTATTTTTGGTTTGGTTGCAGTTGTCATTGTTGTTCAGCAGGCCTGGGCTGGGCTCGAACCCACCAGCCTTGGTGTATGTATGTGGCCAGCACTCTACTCACTGAGCTACAGGTTCCAAGCCATTAACTGATAATATTTTTAAAGTTTCCATGTTTTCATTAAAAATTGAAGGAGAGTCTGCATTTTCAGTCATTTGGTGGAATTACTTGTATGTTAAGACCATGAAATATGATTAATTTTCCTCTGCATTCAACATCCATTGCCACAAAAATCACCTAATTTTACCACCACCATACTACCCACTTTCTCTGTTTCTTCACACTTTTGAGGAGACGTATTTTTGCTACACATAAAAAGCCGGTATTTATCATTCCTTTCCTCTTTTCCACCCTGGAGCGTGTGAAGATTTATTATTAGTATGTACTGGGTTATCCCAGCTGCAGGTAGTGATCCTTCTCAATGCACCTTCAGCCCAGGGGATCTAACCAAGGGTTCTAACCACAAATGGTGATCTGGCCTTAGACTTTTTCTATCCAGGGCACTAACGGGCCAAGAAAACAAAGCTGACATCCCCATCCAAGGCTTTTATATGTAATTCCAGTTATTTAAGCCCAATAAACTTTAAGAGTAAGGAAAAGTTTATGAAAATGCTAAACCCTGTCTTCTTCATTTCAGCCACAGAGTCCTTTATGCCCTTAAATTTCTCTTTCTTTCGGTGAGGACTATACTATTGGTGACAACCAGGCCAGTTGCTAGAGGAAAATTATGTGTGGAGTGAAAAATATTTCTCAGAACAGCAAATGGAGAATGGGGTAGGGTTGGATGTAATCAGGAAAACCTGGTCATTATTGCAGAAGACTGAAAAGTGTACAGGAAACAACTTGTTCTCTGTAGCCCACATCCTGTGGCCTTTGATTGGGTCCAGCAGGAGCTCACTGACGTTAAGTTCTAAAGAGTGAGGCCTGGAGAGAGAACCACATCTGTCGGTGGCTCTGGGAGCTCTTCCTGTGCACGGCAGTGTGGGCTGGTAGTCTGCACGCATGCCGCTCCTGAGTGACAGAAGACTGTGGCCCTTAGTTTGGAGGAAAACCTCACTGACTTGGCAGTAGCTGCATGAGTGAAAAAAGTGGGTCAAACTCTGACATGGTACTTCTGGAATGCAACGCCAGAGTGAAGGGTGCCAATTTTCCACTGCTGGGAGATCCGGGTTTCCCATCTCTTGGCAGGACATTCTACTGGGGGACTGGGGAGAAGGGAGAAACTAAACGCTGGCCTGGAAAGAATATGTAACAAAGGGAGCTGGTCTAAATAAAAAGGCTGATTTGTGAGCAAAATGTGTTGTTATTTAAAAAGTAAACAAAAAGCCTGGAATTTTCAGTGGTGAGCCCCACTACAGGTCTAATTCATACAACAGGACATTAAAATGGCAGAAAATTAAAAAAAAACAATTATTCCTGTTTTAAAGTTTTGCTTTGTCCAGATGATGTAAAATTTTATTAATTTTTCGAAATACATACTGATGATTTTCTTTAAACGACTGATTATCCAGAGATGAACTATGCAAGTCATGACTTTGATGCCCTCTCTTTGTATCTACCAAAGTTTTGATCTTGAGTTTTTCTGGTCATTTATCTTGTTTTTCTACCAAGTCAAATGGTACCAACATGAAAGTTAAAATAAAGACACTGAAATTCAATCTTAAAAGTTTACAATTTATCAGGTAGAATCCTTTTAAGATTAGAGTTTATGCATGGTTACTGACTTTCCTGTTGGGAAGTGTGTGAATTCTTATGCTCATCAGGGTAACTTATTAATTGTTACCCTGAAGGTCTTAGGCAAATGTCTTCAATGCTAAGACGGTGAACAGAGTCTCTAGTTGTTAATACTCCCCTTTCTTCCTGAAAAAATACCAAAAAACATTCTAATTATGGTTTGGAGTCTACAGTACTTTGTATCTGTTTACACCCGTTGCCCTCGGGTCCTGAGGACACCAGACCCCACTAATCTTGCACTCCTACTTGCTTAGGGCAACCTGACCTGGTGCTGCACTATTAGTTAAGGGCTGCAGCAGTTAAAGGACTGCCTACATTCACTCCTCATTCTATCAAAATAAACCAAAACAACACTGCAGATGGGTGGCCTGACTTCCTGTGTTGGGTTGTTTAGCTCTGACATCTCACACTCAGGATGAAGGGCAGACACGCTCAGTCTGAGCAAGAGAGATGCAAGAAGTCAGAGACTGGCTGATGGGGAGAGCGACTGAAGAAGAGAGGCCAGGGAGGACCTGCCCAGGGGTTCTGCAGCCTCCCTCCTCTCCATCCGGCTTCTTGCCTTCTCTTACTTATGGGGCAACTCCATCAACAAAAGAACACAAAGAGGCAGGATCCTGCCCAACCAAACCAGGACAAAAAGGCAAGTGGCAACATTAAACCACCCGGTGTTTTCAAGTTGGAGTGGAGTCTGAGAACATGAAAAACTCATTGTTTTTGCTATTAGTAAGAAAAGTATATACGGATCCAGTCCCTGGGGTCAGTAGAGAATTCCAGAACCATATGAAAGTAATTGAGAAAGAATGCTTAGTGGACAGAAAAATTATTCCAGAATGAGCATTTTTCAGTAATACTTGGTTTAAAAATTTCTCATGAGCAATCTCCAATTGAAATATAGTAGAAACTATATTTCTTTGAATATGATGTTCCATTCACATGAAGAGGAGATAACATGATGCTGAGGTCTGTTTTCTAGGCAGAGAAAGAAGGAGGTGGGCAGAATGAGGCCTGAAGAAATGGCTGCCAGGGTCTTTCCCTGTGTGACACTCGGGTTGGCAGTAGTTGAGCAGCCCACCCTGCTGACACGCACTCTCCCGGGACCCCTGCCACCAGAACTTTGTGAGTATATAAAATAACTTGCTGTTTATGTTTCCAATCTCACACCACCCAAGTGTCCACTACCAGGTCCTCAAACAACGCTGACTGTAACCAAGTATCATTTCACTTACAGAGGAATCAGCTCTCCTTTTAAAAATACTGAATCTAAACTATTTGTCCACCATCTAGATAAAAAGCAGTCTGATTTATCTTTGCTCAAACTCTTGAGTACGTGTAAGGATGTTTGAAACTTGCCTTGCACAGCAAATGATACTGTGTGATTGTATTTGAATTTTCAGATAGACTCTTCTTGCCCTGATCTGGATGTCATTTATTATGAGGGTGGAGAGTAGAATGCAAGATATATTTATTATCTAACAACTGAGGGATTATGTATGAAAAGTAAACAGTATTGGTTGGGTTTGGGGGCTCACAGCTGTAATCCTAGCACTCGGCAGGTCCGTGGAGTGCTTGAGCTCAGGAGTTTGAGACCAGCCTGAGAGAGAGGGAGACCCCGTCTCTACTAAAAATAGAAAAATGAGTGGGCATGTTAGCCCACGCCTGTAGACCCAGCTACTTGGGAGGCTGAGGCTTTGAGGTTGCTGTGAGCTCTGATTCCAGGGCACTCTTAGCTTGGACACAGAGTGAGACTCTATCTCAAATAAATAAATAAAAGAAAGAAAGAAAGAAAAGAAACAATATCAAAATACTCACATAATTTGAAGTACAACTGATATGTAAACATGGATGAAGTATGTGGCACTCTTTAGACTAGTGAGACAAAGTAATTAATCCCAGGAAGAATAAGTTGGGGCGGGGGGAGCACAAGGTTTCACCATAATAGAGAACTAAAATGAAAATGCAAGATCTTCTACTTTTCAGTAAATCCTGAATTCATGAATACAGCAAG